TTTTTTAAACTTTTCATCAGACAGCAATGAATCTTTATCACAGCGAAGTCTTCTGTAGATAAAGATGTTGCACTTCTCAGCTGGCACTTCACCTTTAAGACGCAATTCTACAGGGACAAATTCTGAATCTTTTTGAATGCCCAGACTGTCCCAGACTTACTTCTTGTCAAATCTCATGACCAGTGAAAGGGTTTGTGGATAGTGATCTTGTCACTCCCACCACATGATGACTACTTTCAAGGTCTATAAATAGAACTTGATTGTAGGACAAACTTGATCTATTGTTCAAAATCAAAGAGTGATTTTCTCCAATAAAATGATCAAAAGGATGTAAGGTTGGTATAGTTCTTACATGCAACATCTGGTATTTCTCATCAGTGAAAGATGCTGACAGTTTCCACTCACAGCCTCAGGATTTTTTTCATAGTAAGCAGGAACACCTGCACCAGGTCCTTCTATTAATGGCTATTTGTATGCATTCCAAACCCTTTAAAATCTGCTTTCCAGGAACATTTAACCTCTTCTGGGAGATAAAGGAGACCAATTCAATATTCTGAAAAAATGAAGTAGTAGAATCTTTTGTTTTCTTCTTCAGTACACATTTTCTTCTTTGTTTGGAGACAGAACTAATTTTAACCCAAGAAAACTATCTGTAAAGAAAACCAAACCTTCCCCACACTCCCACCGAGGCTTCTGAACCCCCTGGGAAAAAAAAAAAAAAAAATAAAAAAATGCATTCAACTAATTATATTACATAAAAAAGCAAGTTTGTTTTCATGAAAACAAGTTCTTGTAATTTTGGTTTTGAACAAGTCCCTGGGAGCTTTGTATCATGTGCTAAACATCAAGGGCAAATAGCAGCGAGTAGGTAGTACAATACTGTAACATATAATATTGACAGGAGGGGGAAGCGCCTGTTGGGGAAGGTATTCACAAAGGTTAACATTAGCTCCCTCCCGCTAATGCCTCGACGGCTCTCAGTAAAGAGAGAAAGGCTCCTCCAGAGGGCGATTCAGAACTGAAGATTCATTTAGCTGCTCTGAATCTCTCTCTGGAGGACTCTCATTTCCATTAACTTCAGAAACAGCCTGCAGAGATGAGCCTCAAAAAGATGCTGCTAGCCTTTGTGAACACTCCCCGGTATTTACCTTCCATCAGCACGAACAGTGGCTGAAATTCACGACTGAGATGTATAGTTGGGTATACTGTATTTAAATCTGAACACTACGTATTGCACACGGACTGCATTTTGCCCAGCTGGAGATTAGCGCTCCTGCCAGAATCACCGAAACACAAGTCTCCCCAGTGCTACTAGAATGACTGCAGGATTTAGGTTTTCTCCACTGCCGCATTAAATTGCTTGGTTTGATGGCCACCCGCATGCTGCCGTACATTGGACCGCTGTGCCCCCAGCACCTTCAGAACCCACTAACATTCTGCAGTCGTACTGGCACAGCTCCTTCTCTTGTGCCGACTGCTCATTCTATCACTGGAGCAGCAACGGGAGCTGAGCTTTCACCATCAACCTAAACATGAAGATGAAAAATTCTCAACTTTTGAGACTTGCTGTCGACAATTTTTATGGTTATTATTTAGTAGCAACAAGAAAGAAAATGGTCTTTTAATCGCAAACACAGATTGGATTTTGTGACTTAGAACATAAGGAAGAAAGCCATACTGACAGAACTACTATCAGGGCCATTTCCTAACTCTTCCAGTTCTTCTATACTTCATCAGAACATTGTGCTTCCCTCTCTGAAAAAATTCCATGATATCTTCAAATTCTATCAAACAATAGATTTGAGAAAAATAAGACTTCTATAATATTGTATAAACCAAAAGAATGATTATAGTTTTTTAAAAGTTTTGGTGGGACTTTTCACATTTATGATTCCGCCAAAATTTCTCTTCGCAGAATAACTTTGTAACATGAGCCAGCCATCCTTTTACAAACGTCAAAAACAGAAAAAAAGACCCTTTAAATTGACTTCAGCAAAGGCATGACAAAGTTCATCACAAACAACGGAAGTCTTTCATTTAACACCAGACAAGTTATAACCAGAGCCAAAGACAATACAAACTCCAGGTAGAGTTGATTTCCAAAGTATGGTTAGACAAACCAGTACAAGTCTGAGACTACAGAACTTTTCCCAGTCTTGTGAAAACCCTCAAGCCCTAGCAAGTCTAGTTCTAAACTTAAATTTTTCCTACACAACTATGTCAAACATGACTTAACAAAATGAACTTGCAAACGTCAAATCAACTTGCAAACATCTGCTAAGTACATTTTACCACTGAAATCAAGCCACTTTACCAAACAGAAAAGTTATGTTCAGATTTTAGAGACCATATTGAGACAAAGATGTAATGAACACAGAAAGTACTACGAAGACCAGTTATGGTTCCAAATGAACAAATCCTTTGCATGTTACATAAACTACTTGCAATGCAGCATGTCAAACAAATACTTCACGTTGTGTTATTACCTAAGTAACAGTGTAAGAAATGTTAGCCACCACCTGAAATTATTTTCACATAACTCTCCTTTACATAAACATCAGAGCATCTTAGTTTCAAAATGCATTTAACTGTGATGGCCTTTCAAAACTGCATTGCACCTTTAGACAGAGGAAAAAAAAAAAAGAAAAAGGTTCCTGTTTGTTATATTCCACTATCAGGTAGTTTTCCAGGTACTCAGTCAAGAGATTTGCAGACAAAAATTACAAGCAATTAATGTGGCTCATCCTAATTATATTGTGGTATTAAATTAATAGAAACCATGCACTCTCCCCTTTAAGGGCACTGTTCTGTAGAATTCTGCATAGTAAGAATCTTTTGGCTTGAAATGAATCTCAAAGCATGTTGATTAAAAGGTTAAAGGGCAGAGTTTTTAATTATTGTCAAAATCTAATTAAGAATATGAGAGAGGAACAAAGTTTGCACTTTTTTCATAGAATTGTTTATTAAAATAAACAAAAATCCAGAATTTTACAGTTCACCTTATAGTTGGAAAATGTTTATAGTCAAATATCACTTTCAGAAGAGTCTTCCTCTATATACTCAATTTACACCCACTCAGAAGGGCATTTTGTACTCTGCACTATCTGACACATCTGAACAACTTTCTAGACAACGATTATTGCACAGGACAGTTGTGTTTGCGACAATGCTCATTTAACCAAGCACTACATTGCTCATTGTTCTTTCTGTTAAACTCAGTAGGATAGGAAAAAATGCAATAGGGTAAGATTTTGCCAAATATATTAAATCACAAAGTAGATTACCAGTTCAATGAAAGCAGCAATTTCTCTAATTAAAATACAGAACTGATAGTTTATCCCTGGCAATTTATACACAAGCAGCATATAATCTGAACACAAACATTTCAGTGAATTCTGTGCTGTTTCCCATGTAACACGCAGTAACAAAACAAGACTTTTAGAAAGTTTACTGAAAAAGGAATGACATATTTGACCAGTACCTACACATTGCCAAATTACACTGCAATCCTTCTCAACTGATGGCACTTCATGTGAGGAGATTAGGTCTCGTAAGTTCTCTGAAACTGCTTTTAATTTAACTTCACAATATATCAAATGAAGTTTTAACGCATAGAAACCTGTCTTCTCCTTTAAAATATTTGCAGCAATTAAATCTTACAATTACTGTGGAACATTTGGCAGTTACTTACTTACTTGAGTAATAAACCCCTGAAATTTCCCTTCTATTTGAGCTTAATACTTGAACCATGTGAAAACTGTTCCTCTAAACATGGAATTAAGTTTAGAAAAAATAAAGGGGAAAAAAAACACCTGTTTTAGCACTCAGTACGAACAATTTCTTTGTAGAAAAATCATAACACAGTTCCCCCTTCCACAGAGTTGGCTCATCAATATCCAATATTTTAAATATCTATTGATTGTGTCTGTGTGTTTACCCTTGTGGTGAAAGTAACACCTATAGAGAAGTCCATCTTTCTTTCAGGAATGTAACATGCAATCAGCTCATTCTTCTACTAGTCAGGGAAGAATCAGTGCATGAGTTAATATATTTTAACAAGAAAATGAAATCTTATCTCCATTTACAACAAAACAAAAAACAATCAAATCCTGGGAAGTCATTTTTGCTAGCTTTAATAAAGGCCAATTCATTAGTTGCATTTTGGAGTTCCAAAATAAATAGACCTTTGCTGCATGCCAATGTCACTTATTCCAAAGCTTTCAGGAGCTGTTAAGAACTCCCAACACGATCTCTGGGAATGATCCGTAAATCCGAACCATGCTTTAGAAATACATTTCCTAAACAAACAAACAAAACAGATTGTGTTACCAACCAACAAAATAAAATGTTACCTAAACAAGAGTGTTAGGTCAGTGTTTGACATCTTTGTAGTAATTCCTCTAATATACCAGAAATAAATTTTTTATGTTTCCATGGAATTTCAACTTAACCCTCTTACTCCAAAGAGCTCTTATTTTTAAATAAAAATACCAGACTCAAAGTCATCTAATAAGACTTGCAAGCTATGGCCTTTCAAACTTTGCAGTTCCATACTTGAATGTCTGATTTCACTTATACACCATAATAATTTCAAGATCAGGAAATGAAGTTTTACTACTCCATAATTTTTTTAATCTTGAGGTCATTCATGCATATACTCATTTTTAATTCTCTCCTTGGTTCAGTATTTATCTGCTTCTAACTTCAGAACCTCAACTGTACTTTTCTTTTAGGAAGGCTCTCCACATATTCAAGCATAAGTCAGTCTCATTTTAGCATAAAAATATCTTTAACTTCATATTTATTACTGTATAGTCTTGATCATGATAGTCTTTTCAAGAGGACATAGTATGAAAATTAGAAGTTTCTAATACTTAGATGTCTAGAATATTTTCTGCATGTATTCATGCCATTCATGTCATTCAGGTTACTATTTTCTTCTATTAAATGTAACATTTCAAAATGAAACCACATTGCTAAAAGTGATGTATTATTTAAGCATTATTTAATTACTATATGGAACTTTTTTTTTTAAAACTTCATACTGCTACTGCACGAAACAGACCATATGTAATTCTACAGTATCAGGTTTTAATAACATCTACCTATTCTTATTCGTCTTTGTGTTGACTTGTAAAAACAGAATAATTGTATTTCTCTCCAAAGCACCATATTCCAGAGATATAGAGTGCTCTCATAAAAAATGATTTAGATATTTAACACTTATTCAGGTTATTAGCATACTGGAACAAAGCTACCCTTTTTCAAACTTCCCTTTTCCAGCATGTGGATCAGGATCAACACCATTCTACTTATTCAACATAACAAGTATTAGAAAATCAGCTCAAAAGAACATATTATCAGAAGACGTTCTGTTTTTAGAGATCTCACATATCGAAGAGATCTGTAAAACCCACTGAACACAAATCTGTCACACCAGCAAGCCAGAGAACTAAGCTTACTAATCTAGATGAAAAGTATCTGTATTGCAGTGGCCATCATAAAACTGCACAGGCCACAGCTGCATCTCATGCAGGCAGCAAGTTCACCCCACCTCTCAGTCTGCTTCCATAAGTAACATCATGGTGGTTTTATTAAAGTTATGACATGCTACTCCCTGAAGTACTGAGGATTTAAAATTAAAATCTATACAGGAATTAAGTGCTAAGCATAGATTTTTCAGCTTTCATTTCCCCTGCTCCACAGAATCATGTAGGGAGAATGAAAGTCATACTTGAGGAGTACTTTTATTCAGAAAGGTGAGGAAATAGTGGAGCAGTACAAAACCTCTGAAATCTCTAAGGATTACTAAGATTTTATGCCTAGATCATCTTATTTTGCGAAGTTTTTGAAGACTAAAGTAATTGCTCAATCTACAGGAACTTTAATATATGCAAAAAAAAAAAAAAAGGAAGGAAAAAAAAGTACATTTTACCCTACCAAGTTTCCAAGATATCAATTAATAAGGCTGAACATAAGGTTGTATCTAAACTACATATGTTTACTTGTAAACTGAGGAGGGATTTTGGTCTGGGCCTCGGGTTTAGTGTAGGTCATTTTTTGGTCAGTTTTTTTTGGGGGGGGCAGGCAGGTTGTTTTGGGTTTTTTTTTTGTGGTTCCCAGCTCTCCTCCCCAGTTTAAGGGCAACATCAAACAGCATTGTCAGGGCAATGGTACCTTCTATGTTAAAAAAAATTACCCATGTGCAATGCATAAGACTATTCTTACATTTGCAGATAAGATTAAGACTGTGATGAAAACATTTTGCATCCAGATGCTTTTGATTGACCTGATTCTTGATTATGAGATACCGTCTTATACTACTACTGAATAATTCCTCAACATTCATAAGAACTTTGGAGACATAAAGCAAATCAATTGGAGATGTGAATTCAATATGCATAAGTGCAAGCATAATGAACTACCATATGGATGTTTTCATTCAGGAGTCAAGTAGTCCTAAATATATTTATTTTGCAGGATTGAACTACAACTAATTTGAGCTACATAATACAAAATTAAAGTATACTTTTGAGGAAGAGAAACAGTGCAAGTATATGTTAAGCAACTGACTTTACCCATTTTGCCTAAGTATTCTTGAGTGGTCAGGTGAAAATGTGGCTTTATATGTGGGTGATGATCTAGTAGCTAAACTAAATTATTAGCTTTATTATCTGTTTATAATACACTTGGTCATGGGATCATGACGAGGACAGCATCAGCTGATGAGTCTGCTTGCAGCAGTACACCTGTCAAACCATAATCCAGGTGTCCTAAGGCAAGCCCAGGAAGGACAGAAACCTCTAGTAGAGCAGAAAGCCAAACACTCACTTGACCTTCATTTTCAAATGTTATTGATGCAATCACAGACCTGAGAAATGGGACACTACACTTAAATGTCTCCTTTTACAACTCCAAGAAATTCCCCAAACTAATGTCAAGCAACTGCTGTTCTAACTATCCAATACTGTTATGGGCTCTGCAACGATTTACTTTATACTATTTATCTTATATAGCTAAGTACGCTGATAATACCTTGCTTTCTTATTCTCTCTTTGAATATGAAAAAAAAAAAAGGTGTGGTATCTTCAGTTAACGACTGGCAGACAGAGGGCACAAATGAATGAGACCTTGCAGAGATTTCATGCAAAAACCACAGAAGCAGCAAGTCCCCATCAACTGTTCATCTCATTTGCAAGCAGGAGTAAAATTAGATTCACAGTTTTCACTGGATGACTGGGTTCCACAAACACCAAAGCCATTTTTTTTATTTCTTAGTAGAAAGTTATGAACATTTCTTCCCTAACAACATACTCCACTCCACCATTAACTCTCGTCTCAAATGGGCTAAGATTAGATTACTGTAATCATTTCCAAATTAATTTAAAAGTATAGATTTTCAAGAACAATTCCACAGAAGCCTGCTTCCAGACAACAGACCATTATTAGTACAATTCAACATCTGTACTATGTGTCCATGTATTTCAGGAGGTGTTGGGGAAAAGTTTTACACTCTTCTGTTACAGCGATAAAGTCTTGTCTCATAGCAAGCCTCCACAGTTGAAATCGGAGATTTCTGACATGGAACCCCTTGGTGAGAACAAGAGGGCTATCAGCAAGAAGATCACCTTTTCTTGAAAACATGCTTTCCAAAGCACCTAGAGTTCCTGCTCTAAAACTGAGCATTATTTTTCAAACATATCTCATGAGTAGCGCTGCTAAAATAGCAAATACTACTGAACTAGGTATAGTGGGGAAAAAATATAGCTATTACTTCTTATTTCAGTAGCATGTAAGACAGTATTGCTGTTTTAAACTGCACACTAAATAGCTAGCTCTGAAGATCAGAAGTGCCTCATTTTTTCACAGACCTAAATAAATAAATGCTGAACAATAGTTCTGTGGATGTAACCTTTTAGACGCTACACTGCCTGTAGTTTCCAACTACTGGGTAATGCGTCTCTGTTAAAAAATCAAAACTTAAAATATAAACCAACCCCAAGTACTATGCATTAGTTTAAAAGAAAAGTAACTGAAGTTTTTAATACTGGGCTTCATAAACAACAACTTACCTGCTGTCTGTGCAGGGTTTATTCCTATACCATCTAGAAAAAAAAAAAAAAAAAAAAAAAATAGAATATAAAAAAGAGGGGAAGATGAAACAGACATATTACAATTTATTACATTAAGCTTACAGCTCAAAAAAACATAATATACCAACAAGATATAATTATTACATCAGGTCTTCACGCAGCTATTTCCTATAACCAAAAATAGTCTTATCACAGGAGTTAACAAGAAACCTTCAGAACAGAAAATCCAAGCTATATATTTGGACAAAACCAGATTAATTATATTAGTGTTTAATATCTTCATCCTATGCATAAGCAATTTAAATAGTGCTGCAATATTATTAAATTCAGTTTGCAGTTTGTAGATGTTGTGAAAGAAAAGATACTTTTGCTTCTATCAACACCCCTTCACTGAAACCACAATACAGAAAGTATTAGAAAAAAATATATGTAAAAACTATATTCTTACCATTTGTTATAATGGCACTTGTTGCTGCAGGAACTTTGAACTAAAGGAAGTAAGAGTATGACAAAATAACGTAAGACACATACTTAGAGCAGAAAATATATGAGGAATATTCAAAGCACTTATAATTTTAGCTGGTTCAGGTACAAAAAAATGATGAAAAGACTCCCCTCAGATTTACAGATATAGCAAAATAAAAGTTTAAAGTCAAAGTTGATTAGACACCTCAATACAGAATGCAAAATTTGCAGTACTAAACAACTTATCAAATCGAATTACATTTTATCCAATAAGTAATAATAAAAGTTAAGCAGCCACAAAGGTAAGAAATATTAGTTCTTATTATACTAAATAAAGGAATATCTAAAACATGTATGGAAATAAACTTCTAAGAAGCAAACCTGTTATGTCTATCATGAATTAAACAAGAATTAGCTTGAGATAATCTTGAGTAATTTTGATCAATTTCCTGGCTTTCTCTCTGGCTCTATTTGGAGCTCTCCAACTGCACTGCTCCAAGAGAAGAGTTCAAGATTTGATTACAAAAGGAAGCACTAACAGCACTGCATCAGATCTGGCTCGCTCTTCAGATTTCTGACACCAGCCTAAGCAGGCTTTGTACCCTCAATCTCGACCTCCCACCTTCATGCGCATCATATGTGGTCAGTTTTACAGTATGAAGAGCCCTACTCAGGCAGAGTTGCATTGCATACAGCCTTCAAACTACTTCAGAAGATCTGAACTGAGATGGGGAAGCCAAAAATAATTATTTCTCAGGACTAGAGGGAGCCAGGCAGGGCCAGAGAAAAACGGTGCACTATGTAAAGTGGTTGGACCACACAGGACAGAAAGGGTGGGGGGGGGTACAAGTCAATTAGTGCTACTTGGTTGGTCTGAGGACCAAAGGTTGCTCCTTGGGCTTCCTTTAGTTAGTACAATGAACAACCCCTAAGGGAAAAGACTGGCGTCTCAGAAATGAGCAAGCCTCAGTGAAACGTCCTCACAAAGCACTTGCTCCTCCTCTCTATACTGTGTAAGAAAAAGGGGAGCTAACTATCAATGTTAACACTGAGTGCTTCCCTGGGAGAACTGCACAGCTCTCCCATCCCCTGAACAAGTCACTTCAGCGATGCCTTTCAATGGCATTCACGAGTTGTGCTTTCCCCATTTTCTGATTGCTCAACTTAAGATTTCCAGGTTTGATTTACAGAAACACTATGCGTTAACAGTAACAGCTAAAGCTCACAGAAACCATGCCCGAATACAGCACTTAATTATTAATACTGAAAAACTGACTCTTTTTATCTCTAAATACACAAAATTAGCAGATTTTTAACTTATTATTTCTCAGGTTTTATCCATAGAAGGTAAATCATGTCACCTCCGCAACTTGCAGGGTGACATGAAAACAGTAATTTCTGCAAAAGGTAAGCTAGATATCAGTGTCATTGAAGAAAGGTCATGAGGAAAGTAACTTTGTTTTCAGAGCAAGATTTGAATAATAAAGTCAATAAAATAGCAGCTGCATATTTAACAGTAAGAATGTAAAAAACAATACGCTATCTCCTAACAGCTAATGTATACATATCATATGCTGAAGAAAGCAAGCCTTCATTCTCATGTTCACTAACTTTGGGAATCTTGACTTAGTCTAAGGAGAAATCCTTTTTTATGTAATAGGAGAAAATGAATTTGTAACATTTGAACAGTGGGATTAATGTCAATCATATTAAGTCCTGCCTCCTGGAATGAGTCCATCTCCAGTTCAAAAACTAAAGGAATAAAACACAAAAAAACCCTGAAGAAGCAGGAAATACATGTTTAAGTTATTTTTCAGCAAGCGGGTTTCCATTGTAACTAAGCGATACCATGGATCTTTCATTCTAAATCATCTGAAAAAAACCTCAAAATGTTAACTTCTAGAATGTTAAGTGCCTCTTCTCATTTCTTCTGTGTCTCTTCTGATACACAACAATGCACAAAAGGGATGGATCATTCACAGGAGGATGGATGTCTCTACTCATTTTGTGTCATTTTGGTTTTGAGTAGGAGAATCCATCTGATGCCGATACAGTAGGTACATATGAGAACTCTGCGGCAACCAGTCAGTGAAGCACTAGTTAAGATTCTCTTATTGCTTCATATTGTATTGTGTTAGAAGAGAATAAACCACTTTGTTATCTTAGCCCAAAATACTGGGCCAAACAGCAGCACTTGTCAGCTCTATGAAAATAATCACAAGTATAATACAGAAAGGAAAACTACCGTTGGAAATAATTACACATTATTTGGTGCAATATGGTTCACTACTTAAAAATCCTTTCTGTGGCTGCTAAGCATATGTTTCCCATGCTGAAAATATACAAGCTTTCTGTGATACAAAGTCAAATGGATACTCAAGCAGCAAAGTTCTGTACTCAGTACCTAATCCCTGGCTTGCTTTGAAATCGAATTGGGTAACACCCAGCCCCAAACTCACACACTTTAAAGAAAGATTGTTTGCTTTAAAAACCTTATAAATTGATAACTGAAGCTGCCACAGAACTTACTTTCTCCAGCACTAGGAAATACATTTGTCAGTATCTACAGTCACACTATAAGGAAAAGATGACAGTCATATACCAACAATTATATCCCTTTCTCACTTTTTACAATAATGACAAAAATCCTCTACAGTAACAACGTCATCTCCTTTTTGAGCAATGAACAGCAGACAAGTGCATTAAACCATAGTATTTTAGTACCAATCTATCAAGAGTAACATTAGAATAACAGAAGAATAGTTTCACATATGTATGTTTATGAAAGAATAAAATTAAACTTTATTTTATGGATATGGATGAATATTTTAGTAGTAATTCCACAAATGTAAGAGAGGTTTTTTCTACATATTGTGCAAATGTACACCTGAGATATGTACCAAGTAGCTCTAAGAGATGAAGGGAAAAAATCCAATAGATGCCACACACTGTAGATGAGGACATTAACACTGTCACAATAAACTGTGACAATTGTGGAAAGAACCATAGCTAAAAACTGAGGACAGTAGTGTGCCCAATAGTCTACATTTCAATTTACAATTTTATATACAGTCTGTAAGACAGAGAAAATAACAACTAAGGAAAGAGTTAAATTTGCATTATCCAAATTATCACTGCGAAACATATATATTGGGAAAGGCTGAGATCGCTACAAATGACTGAGACTTCCTGAGACCTCCCCATTTAACGATCCAGTTTTCTTTCACTTCCAGCTCTGCCAATCGTGAATTGCACACAATGAACTTTCACGTTATGTGATGTGCTAGAAATGATCAAAAAAAATCCGTTACGTATTTCAGCTATTTCCAAGAAACAAAAAAAAAAAAGAAGGAATACACTTTGTTTTGTGCAGTGAAAGTAAATCAGAAAACTTGGAAAAAGTGTAACCTTTGGCAAAGCACTGTGACTTAAACTTGATATATGACTATTTTACATCATGGCTACAGTTCTACTGTTCCAGGGGAATTCTGGTTATGATTTAGCCAAACTTTAAGACTCTGAAAAATGACTTGGTAGAAACTTGCTAAGGCTATACAACCGAAACTTAAATCCTCCTCCACCCCAAGACCTTTAATCACTCAGAGGATAAAGAACTTCCCTTGGAGACCAACTAACAACTTCGTCCAAAATCCAGCGCTACAGTTTAATCTTTTCCTTATGTGTGTCATACAAGGTACTGTGAAACTGGTATCCGAACCACAACACACACTATAAGTTAACGTTAACCTATGCAGTTCAACAAGCAAAAAACATTTACATAAGACACAAATTCTCTCATTCTTTTCAATGCCAGTTCACAAAGGAGCTTCACTCCTGGGGAAGAGTCTAACAGTCTTTTTTGCTCTCTGTTTACAAAGCACTTAGTTCTGCCTGGTCTCATAGAGACGTAAAAACCTTCAGTGCTGATCCAGAGTAGTCTGAGGTCAAACAGCAAAACTCCCATGGATACTCAAAATACATCAACTAAAATAATGGTTTGCTAAATGTGAATATTTAAGTAACTAATTCTTCTCTAAATCCAATTCACAGAAGACCCTATCACTAACTAACATTGTGGTTCCACAAGCAAGTAAACAGGTTTGATGACAATCCTCCCACCAGAAGCGGCCCCTCACTCTTGGTGTCTCCAACTATTGAGTCCCTCTCCAGTCTTTCCTGGTCCCTCATACTAGTCTATTAGACCTTCCAGTCTAGGTCTCTATGTATGGGTTGTGTGGGCACAGCTGCATTAGTTCAGATTAAAAATAACTGCGGAAAAAAACACAGTAAAAAGAGCAATTAAACCAGCAACTATATTTAACAGCATTTATTATTCTGTATATTGTTCTGTTCAAGTAAAGTTACAACAAACAATCCACAACCTCCCCCCACAAGCTGTGTTTCTGCTAAGAACTTATGTCACATAGTGGTATAACACTAACATCAGGAGGCTCAAGACAGAGTCCATTATCCTTCCTAATTATTTATTTTATTACCATTCCAATACTTAACAAATGAAATTTACAGTAGCACAAAATTTCCCAAGTTTTCCTAAAAAGACAGAAGAGGAATTGCAAGAATAGGCTCTCAGCTGAATCTGGTTGCTGACTAGATGAAAAAAGCCATCATGCTCTTTGAGCACTTTATTTTATTGTTTACACCCAGAAGAACATCTCCTAAATCTTTGTATACTTAATCTGAAACAAACAGGATACATGTCTTCAAATACATTATATATGTAATTTAGGCACCAACTGGTTTTGGATCCCATGTGAAAGATCAAACACCCAGAAGCCAAAGAACACACTATCCACGTCTTATTCACTTACGTCTGCTTTTTGAATCTAGCCTATATGTCTAATCTCAATACCTTCTATAACCAAAAACTGTATGTCTTCCAAAGTCAGAGATTACTGGAACTGAATGTGAGAAGAGTATAAGAATAATTCTAAAGAATTTTCTGGATAGTCTACATAAGCAACTTCAAATGTTAAATATTGAAGAGCAGTATCTTTTAATTATGTTCACTGTCACAAATTTTTATGTTACTGATATAAAATGATTTAATTTAATTGCAAAGAAGAACAGGAAGTGTGTCAATATCGGCTGTTGATGTGTAAATTGTGCAAGAATTGCTAAGTTTAGGATTCTGAAAGTTTTGGCAGGCCGCCACTGACACCAGTAAAGCGTCTGTGCATATCTAACACCAGTCTGTGTATATCTAATGAGATCAGTCTTTGTTGAATTAACCGCTGCATTTTGCAATTAAAAAGCTTCTGCTTTCAAGAACGTTCAAAAAGTTAAAAAAAAAATCATCACTTTCTACTTACTTCTTCTGCAGCAAACTTCAAGACAGCTGTGAAAGGCGTACTTTCAGGCACACTCAACCTGAAATTACAGTGTAAGTAAATATATGACTAATAACACAAACCGAAAAGCAACTTCATTTGCTATTAAACTACTAATTAAAACTTCACTTTTACAAATACTAATACTCTTCCCAAAGGTGTGCAAGTACTATTTAAGGTCCAGATCAGAGCCTAAAAAGATATGCATGTCAGTGGAACAAAGTAGAAATGCCCTGACAGGTGGGTTAACAGCAGAAAACCGCCTTTCGTTTCGTATGGGGGGAGAAAAATGCCTCTTCCAGTCGTGCGAAAGCCCTGTCAGGATGACCCTTGAAAGCCATGCGGTTTAGAAGAGCCTGTGTTTGCGCGGCCTCCTC